CCTCGCCACTGTACTGCAAGCAGTTTTGGGAACACGTTGTCTGCCTGAAACATGTCAGAATCGGCCACAAATTGCAGATGAGACTGATAACAAAAGCCAACAACAGAAAATAGGTAGAAAAACAACACGGTGGAGGCTGAGAGACCACTGAAGGGCTTTTTTGTGTGTTTTTTTAACCAGCTCTCTCACGATGGAAGTGAAAACACATGAAAAGAGAAATGTCTTTTGTTCTCTCACTTGAATTAAGATGCTCCGGCATCAAACCAGGGTTGAACCCCATGGCCGGAGCTGCTGCCCAGCCCAGGGACTCGCAAATTGGCATTTTGGCACTGGTGAGGGTGGTTGGATGCATTTTGGGGGAGGTTTATGGCATTTTTTAACCTTCAAAATGTGCCCTGCAGCACGTGGGTAACTCAGCTCATTTTCTCAACCCAGGCTGCTCTACCTGAATGTCTCTGCTCGAATAAATCAGGCTCCAGCTCAGAAATTAGGATGAGGTTTTTGTTTTCGTTCTACTTATTTCGTCTTTGTTTTTATAAATAAATACAAATCACTCAAACTGAAACTCGATGGCTTTGGTGATAATCAAAGAGCAGCCCTGGGGAAATTTTTCTTCATTACCATGTTCTTTCACAGCCCACACTTGGGGTTTCGGGAGGAAAACTTCTTAACCTTTGCAGCAGCAGCAGCACCCGACACTTTTTGAAGTCCCGGCACACTCAGACTCGGGGCTCGCATCGCGGAGCTGCCTTGGCATCACCTTTATTTCAGGGCCATGTGGGGAGGAGAAATTATCTCAGTCCCCAGCCCTTTTCTCCCCTCAGTTCACCCCTTTTCCCTCCTTCAAAAAACATATTTAAAAAAACCCCCAAGAAAATGTTGGACTCCCCCCTTGCAGGGCTTGGGTTTTGTTGTTGTTTTTTCGGTTCTGTGGGGCAGCTCTGTTCTCTACCACCTTTGTACAACATGTTTTAGTATTTGCAGCTCACTTCCTGTATGAGGTTACCTTGTTTATCATAAAACCCCTATTTTTAAACCCATTTCTGCCAATAAGTCATTTGAATGGTAATAGCAGGCGCGTGTGACTGTCCCCTGTGCCCCTGGCTGGCAGGGGGACTCTGGTGGCTCCAGGAGGGATAGGCATTGGAATGTGGGCTGAGGGCATCCCACGGCTCTCCCCTCAAATCTCAGGGGGATTAGTTGTGTGAAAATCAGAAGGATTTCTGAAAATCCTGACTTTTTCAGCGTGGGGTCACACGTGGTGTGAGGATGTGGACAGGCAGAGCTGCAGCACTCACCATCCCTTCCATCCTTAGGGAATGGCCTCTGTGCCATCTTCCAGCCTGATTTTCATTAATTACCAGCCAGGAGAAGTGTGGGATTGTCAAAACAGGGTTGGTTCAGCCCGCTCTGCCCATAATTGAGGTGTGGGTTAATGAGCAGCCTGCCAGGCCGGGAAGCACTGGATACCTGTGTGTGCTCCTGGGAAAAGGGATGGAGGAGCCTGTCACAAACCCAGCCAGGAGAAATCCATCAAATCCAGGAAGAACAGGCCCTGTATCCCCACAAGGGCTGTGTGAGGCCCCCTGAGCTCCACAGGACCAGCTTTTGTTGGAACAGCAGTGTCTCCATCAGGGGTAACCTCATTGTCTGCCTTTCCTTGGGTTGCAGGGTTTAATTTTTCAAAATTCCACAGAAAAGAGGTTTGGGATGCTCAGGAAGGGCAGCAGGAAGGTCCCCTTGGTCCAGCCATCCCTGAGCTTGTCTTACACCCTATAAAAACCCTGCTAGAACACTTTTAACATCTTTTTATTGCTTTTAGGGACCTCCCTGGTATCCAATAGTTCCCGTCTCTGTCTGCGCCGGGTGTTACCCTAGGAGAGGTTGAGCATCCAAGGAGCTGCCAGAAAGGCAGAAAAGCCGCTGGAAAGAGTGAGCTTTGTTGCAATATGAAAATCAAATGCAAAGCTCGGGGGGTATTTTTAGCTGGTTTAGGCTGCACAGGTGTTTGAAAGGTCAGTGGCGAGTCATTGGAAAAAAAAATTTCTATTTATTTCTGTGTGTGGGGAGAGACTGGTGTCGCTCCCGTGGCTCTGGATGACTGGAATCATCCTCAGCTTGGGTTGCTCGGCATTCCTGAGGCCAGCAGGGGTGTGGGAGTGCAGGAATGTCCCAGTTTTGTGTGTCCCCAACAGCATGAGCACATGGCAGCCACGAGTGTCCAGCTCTGACGGACACAGGGAGCTGTGGCTCTTTCCATTTATAAAATCTGGGAGTTTGCTCCTTTTCAAGGAATAACGGCCATTTGTCATCCTTAAAACAATTGTGTGGGGGGTTTTATGAGCTCCTAGAATTTAAGAGCATGGAAAGGGCCTGGCTGGTGATGTGGCTTTGGTGGGCCTGGGCCGTGGCCAGCGTGGCTGAGGCCAAGATGAGTTTGGTGGACCCGTGACCACTTTGGGCTTGGCCACGACCAACAGGCCACAACCACCTTGTCTGGGCCAGGAACATCTTGGAGTTGGCCTTGGCCAACCTAAACCGTGACCTCCTTGGATTTGGCCACGGCCAGCGTGGGCTGAGGCCAACCTGAGCCTGGCCATGGCCAAGCTGGGCTGGGAACACCTCCAAGGTGGCCATGAACCCCTTGGACTCAGTCTTGGCCAACCTGGACCATGACCACCTTGGATTTGGCCATGTCCAGTGTGGGCTGAGGCCAAGCTGAGTTTGGTGGACCATTTCAGGCTTGGCCATGACCAACAGGCCACTACCACCTTTGTCTTGGCCAGGAACACCTTGGAGTTGGCCTTGGCCAACCTAAACCAGGACCACCTTGGATTTGGCCATGGCCAGCATGGGCTGAGGCCAAGCTGAGTTTGGTGGATCCGTGACCATTTTGGGCTTGGCCACGACCAACAGGCCACGACCACCTTGTCTGGGCCAGGAGCACCTTGGCCTTGGCCCACCTAAACCATGACCACCTTGGATTTGGCCATGGCCAGCATGGGCTGTGGGCAAGCTGAGCCTGGCCATGGCCAAACTGGGACGTGAACACCTCTGAGGTGGCCATGAGGCCCTTGGACTCGGCCTTGGCCAACCTGGACCGTGACCACCTTGGATTTGACCATGTCCAGCGTGGGCTGAGGCCAAGGTGAGCCTGGCCCTGGCCAAACCGGGCTGGGAACACCTCTGAGGTGGCCATGACCCCCTTGGAGCTGGCCTTGGCCAGGCTGGGCCTGGCACCTGGTGCCGAGGGCAGATCCCAATGAGGGGCAGCGCTTCCCTCCCGCGGCGCCACCGAGGTCACCGGGTTCAGGCAGGGCATGAGCTCCTCCCAGCCCGAGTCACAGCAGGGCCACCTCCCAGGTGTGACAACTCACCTGGACACATCCATGAGCTCCCAAATCCCAACAGGAGCGCAGAGGCACCGGGAGAGCAGAGCCAGCAGCTGCCACAGGCTCGGCTGGGCAATTAAACCTTTTTTTTGTGAGTTAAAGAAGCCCCCAAAATAGCACCTGAAACCAATAAACTTCCCTTTCAGGAACTTCTGTAATTTGAAACACACTCAAGAACAAAACAAAAAAAAAAAAAATCCAGAATTTTTTTAGGTTGTTTATCAAGTAGGACCTGGTGGGGTTGTTTTTAAATCCCTTCCACGTGGTGAGTGCTGAGGAATAATATCCCTTCCTGAGGGATAGGAAGGGCTGGAGGGACAAATGGGATGGAGGGTCCAGGCAGAAGGAAGGTGGGATGGGAATTTTTAGGAGCAGATTTAAAACTGCAAAATAAAACCAGCCATATGAAATAATAAAAGAAGAAATAGTGATGTTCCATAACAAAATCAAAATAATGTTAATAAATGCATTAAATAATAAAATAAAAATAAAACAAGACATACAGTATAAAATAACCCCCAAAACTTCTTCAATGCCAGTGAAAACCAGCTGGGGACAAGAAGTGCATGGAAGGTGCCCAGCAGCTGGGCTTGAGTCCATGACCACAGAAATGTGAGGAAAAGCAAAAAACTTCCAAGGAATCCCCAGATAACTCCCAGCTGGAGCAGCTTTTGGGGTTGGATACACTCAGGGCAGCACCTGACAAAGCAAATTCATTCAAGAGCTGCATTCTGGGTGGCCTGAAGTATCTTGGAGCTCCAGGACACCAAAATGGAGAGGGGAACATCAAAATGGAGAGGGGAACACCAAAATGGAGAGAGGAACACCAGGTCTGGAGGGAGAATGGGTGAAAAATGGGGAAAATTGGTGATAAAGCCACAAATATCCTCTTCTCAGGAGAACCTCAATCCCCACAAAGAACCAGCACTCAGGACAAATAGTTGAAAGTTTTTATTCATATAAAACTCATATTAAAGAACATAAAAGATTCTTAAAAACAAAACCAAAAAACAACCCCCAAAAAACAAGGCTCTTGCAATTATTTACAGCAGTATTGCACAAGTAAAGTGGCAATTACCCTGTCCAAAATTCATCAGTGCAAAACACAAGGAAGGCAGGGAAATTGCAGTCAAAAATGCTACATTAGCTGGGTCCTGCGACACGATTTAGTGATTCACGGGATCCCATGGGATGGCTGCTCCAGGAAAACCTGGCTGGAGCAATCCCGGGGGGTGGAGGAACCAAATTCCAAATTCCCACTGAATTTCACTAATGCTGAAGTCTTTGATGTGCCTAAATCACTCCTGGGAAGTGGAGACTTAGGCACTTGGAGAAAAATAAGATTAAAATCTTGTTATCCACACCACGATGGCTTTGGAAGGGGATCCAACACTTCTGGCAGGGAGGAAACCGAATCTTCACAGGAACTTAAATAAGCAGGAAATAAATATACAACATTTCTACAAGTTACAGCATTAAACAGTAGAGTGCATTAATTACACAAGGGAAAAAAAAAACCAAGAAAAAAAAAAACAAACAAAAAAAGGACCTACAGTATTTACCAATTCCACTCTAAAAAAGTGTAGGAAAAAAACAGGAACTTTTTTTAAAATTTTTTTAGTTTTTTTTTTAAAGTATTTCTAAGCTGTACAAAACTTACAGGAGAGAAAGGAGAGGGAGTACATTGCACACAGATATTTGGCTCAGATGATGAAAATAATACGGTACTCTACTCTAATAAATATTTGAGTATTTACAGTTTGGTGCAAAAGAGGAGAAGCAAGAACAGGATCAATCTGGTTTCCAAGGAAAACTCTTCATCCTTTTGGTGCAACACAGAGCACAGGCTACACTTAAACACGACCCAGAGCAGGCAGCCAACATGGCTGAAAGGAGCATAAATCCCTGTTTTATATAATTCTTCTGTTTTGAGGCGTTTTTGGGGGCTTTTTCTCACTAAACCTCACAATGCCACAGGAATCCTATTTTTTGAGGGTTCCTTTTCCTATGATTTTTGGCTGGGAACTCCTCCTGTGGAGAAGGCCCTGGGAGACTTTGCCAATATATTGAGTTTTTTTTTTCATTAAAATGAATTTGTCTCCATGGGAGGACAGGGTAAAGTGCTCTTTGGTGATTCTTTGGTGTACTCCAAGGGACACATTCTGGGATGCCCAAAGCTGGGAGATCCCAAAGCACCATTTCATCCACCAGCAATGATGGAACTCAACTGGGAGGAAAAAAGAAAAAATCTCACTGGGTCTCCCCACCCCTGCTGCCAAGTTTTATCCTTTAATTCTAATTTTACCAGTGGAATTCCATGGGAAATCCCTGGTGGCAGCTGGTAGGGCTGACTGGGGCAGCACAGCCACGGTGAGCCAAAGCCAGAGGTAAATCCCAAGGGATGAGGAGCAGGATCTGCCCTGGCCAAGCTCCCTCGTTATTTGAACCGCTCACTCTCCACCAGTGCAAAGGTTCCCCACAAAGGGCTCCAAAATGCCCTTCCCAAAACACTCCCTGCTCCTGCAACCGCTGCTCACCTTGCACTTCCAAGGAAAAAAAGGGAATAAAATTGGCAATCGAGGTTAAAACCACCTCCATGATCCTCCAGGAGCAGGAGGGGAGGCCCCGCTCTGACCCGCCAGGCAGAGAGGTCCCACTGGGGTCTGTCCATCATTAATTAACACTAATTATCATCCATGGCACTCAGCAGCTTCTCCCTGTGGGAAGAACCGCTCCAAGGGGGGCTTGGGATGGGGTTTTCCTTCTTTTCTTTTCCTATGCTGCTGGTGAGACCAGAAACAACCCCGCAGCTTTTGGGGAGCACCTGCACCAGCCTGAGGGAAGGGGGATGTTTGTGCATAGATATGGGATGGCTGGAGCAGCCAATCCCCCAAAAACATCTGCTGGGAAGGGGAACACCCGTGGATCCATGGCTCCAGGGAGGGAAGGGGAGAGGCCCTGGGACATGGAGCACCTGGGAACTTCTCTGGGAGGACACAGAGCAGTCAGATCCCCTTGGAATGTCCTGGATAGATCCGTGTCGGGCTGGCATCCTTCCATCTGCATCTGGGTGCTCATCCCCGTCCAAACACGGAGAGGATCCCAGGAAAACACCATCTTGGAAACCTCTTTTGACAGCCACGACTCCCAACAGGTCCTGCTGCCGTCGCCTCTGGCTGCGGCGCTCTGGGAGCTGCTCCCTGCCTCCGGAACGGTTTATTGCTGGATTACTCAGTCCCCCACATCTGATAGCAGACACTACAGAAGCGTTTTCACACGTTTTATAGAAAGAATTTCTTTAAAAAAAGGCAACCTGGTGGCTTGGGGTTTGGTTGGTTGGTTGGTTGTGATGGTTTGGACCCTGGAGTTCGACAGCAAAGTCTTGAAATTCAGAGTGGATCAAAAAAATAGAGATATCAAAACGCAAAAAAAAAAAAATTTAAAAATCAGTCAGCAGGAAATAGGCTGATTTGCATTATGCAAATGAAGTTGGATTTGGGGTAGCATTAGGTATTTACAGGTAAAAGAAGTGCTGATATTAAATCCCTCTGCCCTTTTTCCAGCCTTTTTTAGGGCAAATGCCCCAGAGGCAAAGGGAGAGGGGAGGAATCCGAGCCTCTGCAAGGCAAACTCCGAGGGCTCTGCCCATCAGCTGGCTCAGGTTTCCCTCATTCCTGCCATGGGCTCATGCCACAGAATTCCAGGAACGATGACAAAACATGATTCCACATTTTCGCTGAGACTCTTTTGGGGGAAAAAAAAAAGGCAAAAAAATTAATAAAAAGAGTGGAGAGAAACACCGAGTAAACACCACTCTGCCATAAGAACGCCGCGGTCGGAATGGGATGTCCACCCTCATCCTGCCACGTGTCCTGGGGGTGAGAGAGGCAGGGTGGGAGCCCCACATCCATCCATGAGTCCGTCCTTCCCGGGCTTTCCCAGCGAGGAATTCAGTCCTGGTGGCTCGGGATGCGCCGGGCGCTCTCACTGGAGCCTCCAGATGCGGCTGATGATGTAACGCAGCAGGCGCAAGATCATGACCTGGGGGTTTCCCAGAGAGGGGAGGGGAAAACAAAAAAAGGAAAAAAAAAAAGGAGAAAAACCAAAACGAAGTGGTGACTTTAATTCCCAGCACGAAGCCCCCCATGCTATATGAATGCCTGGAAAATATTCCAGAGGCACAAAGTGTTTAACACTGCAGCCAGCAGAGCCTGGGGCTTGTGACGGCAGTCAGGGGATGCCCCCTCTTCCAGGAAAAGCCTGGGACCCAGGAGCCTTGTTGGGACAAGGAGTGGCTGGATGACGAATTGCCCGATTTCCCTGTCCGAGAAACGGTCCCGGGGGGAGGCCACGCCCTGGGGAACGTGACAGGGAAGGCGCCGGGACCCGTCCGACAGCCCCGACCTGCCCGGCGAGTGCAGCTCTGGCACTGCTGCAGTTCCCCATTTCTAACCTCAGGCTGAAAGGGCAAACCTCAGAGCCAGGCAGGGCCGGCAGGCACGAGCCCTTCCACCCTCCCCTCTGGAGCCCAGGCAGCTCAGGAGCAGCCAGAACGCTTCCAGAAGGAAAAGGGACCTTTTCCACCAAGTGCCTCAGGGATGATAATTACACAGTGCCTGAAATGCTCCGAAACCTCCCCAGTTTTGGGTGCAGGGAGTGAGAATTTGTCACATGCTGGCTGCACCAGGTACAAAGTGTTTTTAGGGTCACGCATGACGTCCCCTGCTCGCGTCACCTGAGCAGGCAGGACGTGTCCCCTGTGTTCCACTCCTCGCCCTGGGCCAGCCCTGGGTTGGAATTGCAGCCTTGGCACTGGAAACAGCCTCGTGCGACCCTGGGGGATGCTCCCTGCACCTCACCCTGCTGCTGCCTGGGAAACACCCCCAATCCCATTAAATTCACCCCCTTATCCACCACAGGGTTGTAGGGAGCAGCAGGATGTGCCCAGAGATTCCCAGCACCAAAGGAGCCAGGATAATGCCGGGAGGATGTTCCTGCTCCTCACAAAGTGCTCCAAATTTAAGGCACTGCTCTGGGAGGCAGGGAGGAGGTGGGAGATGGGTAGCACTGAACAGGCTCCCCAGGGAATGGTCACAGCCCCAAGGCTGCCAGAGTTCAAGGAATTTGTGGACAATGCTCTCAGGAACAGGGTGGGATTGCTGGGGCTGTGCAGGGCAAGGAGTTTGGACTTGGATTATCCTTGTGGGTCCCTTCCAGCTCAGGATATTCCAGGGCACTCTGCATTTCTTCCAGCTCCTCTGGATCTGCCTGCTGCTACCAGGTGCCTCCAGCTTCCTGGACAGCCTGCTCCCTCCCTTTCATTGAAAAGATGCCCTTTCATCCCAAAAAGCAGCCACTCTGCATCACAAGGGATCAGCCTGGGTGGGGGAGGTCTGAAGATGCGCATTCTGGATTTTGAGTTCTGGATTAGGGTATCAGCTTATCACCATTTTGTCGCAGGTCAGGACTGCCAGGGCATTTGGGAAAAGTGGAGCAGCTGGAAATGATGTGGAAAAAGCAGGGTCATAGCAGCCTGATCCCCATTTTGTGGGAAAGCCAACCCTGGGAGCAGCAAGGACACACTGCAGGAGCTATTTGGGAGCTGAAGAGGATGGATAAGGATCCAGCAGCCAGCATTCCATCACCAAAACTGCTCCTGGCCCCTCTTCCCACAGCCGAGCCCGAGTGGATGGAGCAGAACCCACAAGCAGGGACATGCAGCAGCTCATCCTGGCGAGCCCATCCTGCTTCACCCCCGGGCTGGGCTGCCTTGGGCTTGGGATTGGGCTCCTCTGGGGCATTACTGCATCGATTCGGGTTGCAACACCCCAAGGTGAGCGAGTTCATGGGCTTATAAAAACTCTTTCAAAACAGTCTTTGCAAGAGAAGTAAGTTCTAGGACCAAGTTTCTTCTTTGCAGCAGCTGGGATTTGGGAGCTGGGCTGGGAATCCCACTGAAAGCTTCCCTAAAAGTAATGGTGCCAGGCAGTGCATCCCCCAAAATCCCCAAACTTTCCCTGCCTCTTCCTTTCTAAAAGTTTCCTCGTCACCATCAGGTCCAGGCCGCACCCAACACCTCTGCCCCAAAACCCCTGCGCAAACCTGGTGCCCTAAAGCTTCCAGCCCTGATTTCAAGGTTATTTTCAATTGACTTAAAGGTTATTTTTCACTGATTTGAGGCCGCCGCCGCTGATTTGTCTGGTCCAGGCCACCCCCCGCCCGCGCAGCCTTTTCTCGTCTGAGTGAGCGAAATGCTCACCGCAGAGAGAGTTTCCAGAAATGATTCAGCCCTTCCCTTCGAGAGAAACGGGAGGTGAAGAGGGGAAAGTTACCCTGCGTGGACAATAGGAGGCATTGAACTCGTCGCCGATGCGCCGCAGCTCCTGCGCGATCCAGATCTCTGGCTGCACCTCTTCGGCCGGAGAGTGGGACTGCCACCGGGAAGCTGCGGGGCATGGAACAGGAGAGTTGGAAACCCAGGAAGGAAAACAAATTGTACAGAATTTACTACATAAAACTCTCCAGTAACCCATCAGCTCTTGCCATTTTATTCCTGTTTTTTATTACTATTATATTTTAACTCTCTTAAACCCCAGGGGCTCATGTGGGGGCTCGCTGCGTACAATGAACAGGCTTTTGTTCCTGGTTATTTCTGTATTATTATTATTATTACTGCTATTAGGCTTTTATTTATTAATTGTAAGCTGTCCATGGGAGCATCTCCAAGCTTTGGTCACTCTTAAACAGGGATAAGAGCCAAGATGCCACTCTCCAATTTTCTTCCCTCACCAAACCTCCTCTTCCCACTTTTTTTCCTTCACCAGCAACTCCTTCCCTAACCTTAAAAACCCTCTGCCTCATTCAATTTTCACATTTCTTCCCCAAATCATCCTCAAGTGCCCAACAAGGAAAACCAATGGGTTTGTCATAGGGAGGAGACAGCCACAGTTGGATTTATGTGTGGAGAAACCACACTTCCAGCAAATCCAAGTACTGGCTTGAAAGAAAAAAGAAAGAGTTAATGTGTTTATTATACTGCAGGATACATAATTATTTAGGTCTCCATCTTAAAAAGTTATAAAACATGTGATAAATCCTGCAAATAGCCAGGGGAAAAAAAAAAAAAAAAAAAGAAACAGGACCATGTATGATACCCAGCACCACCTCATCCCCCCTTCCTTAAAGTTCAGGATCCAAGCAGGAACTGCAGCCTTAAGGAATATTAAAAAAAAAAAAAAAAAAGAAAAAGAAAAACCAAACTAAAAAAAATAAAAATAAAACAACCAAAAAAACCAAAAAACACTGCACAAAACAAAGCAGTGTGAGGAATCACAAGGGAACAGGAATAGCTTCCAATCTTCCAAACATTCAAAGGATTAGTAGGGCAGTTAGGGAAAAAAAAAAAAAAAGTAAAAAAAAAAAAAAAGTAAGAAATTAAATAAAAGCCTGGCTCCAACCTGATTGGAAAATGCGTTTCCGAGCCAAGCAGCGCCGCTTGGCCGGGGGATGTGTTTTGTTTTCACGCTGTAGTAGCAGCGCCCGCCGCCCGCCCCCTCCCTCCCGCCGCCGGGCGCGCCACGCGCGGCGCTCGCGATCCCGCCGGAGCCAGGCGGGACCGGCCGGGGCGGAGCCGCTTCCCAAATCCCACCCCGGCCCGGCCGGGCAAACAAAAACACGCGGCCAGCCCGGGCAGGAAGAGGCGAGGAGCGCCGGGGACGTGAGGAGAACCACGCGAGGGAGCCGCGCTGCTGCCGCTGCCGCTCCATCCTTTCCCCGCCGTGCCATCCTCCCTCCCGCCCCAGAGACTCGGGCTGGGCTCGGTGGCTGAGAGCGAAATCGGGCTGAGGTTTTCAGAAAGGACTTTCTGCGGCGCTGCCGAGCGAAAGGGGCCAGTCATAACCGGGTCCCCAAACCAGTCACGGGCGCTTTCGGGGGCGGGGGGACACAGTCATAGCGTGAGCCACCACCGAGGGTGACAAGCCCGGGGCACCGGCACCGCCGGGAAGCCACGCCTGGCTCCGGCCCGTGGGATGCTCCAGGATGGAATTGCTGCGGTTCCGGCTCGGAAGGGCAAAGAAACCAAGCCCAAATTGCAACGTCAGCTCCTGGGTTAGGTATCCAACCCCTCACCGAAGGAAATCTTGGAGAGCCGGGAGAAAACAGCAGCGACTCCAAAACAAGAGCATCAGGACATCACCAGCAGATTCCCAGCTCAAGGTTTTCCTCTTAAACCCAACTATTTGGAATCTCCTTTGAGAGCAACAGGTTTATACTGCTTCTCTCCTCACAGGAATACACACTGGGATCAAACCAGCACTGGGAAAGCCCATTTCCAGAGCACCTGCTCCAGCCACATTCCCAAAATCTGCGTGCAAACAAACACGTTGCCTTCAGACCAAAAATCCAATGGAAGGAAATGAAGGAGAGACATGAAATACCATGAACAGAGTCACCCAACCCCTCCAGAAAGAGTGAGTTTGTCTTGGGTGACTTACACTCCCAGCTGGGAATTCCCCATCCCTGCCAACCTCTTCCCCAGAACAAACAAATCAACTCACCCTTGCTCCTCTCCGTCCCACCCCCAAAAGCATCATCCTGGATATCCCAGGCTGGCACTGCAGCCCTTGTTCCCTTTCATCCCAGAGCATCCCCTCGCTGCTTTTGTCTCATTTCCCAAAAGAAACGGCTTTGGAGGCAGCTGGATGCATCCACTGAACTGTCAGAAAGGCGGCACAGCCCAAAGCATCACTTCCCAAAACCTCCACACCAACAGCTCTTCCTTACACAACCCCGGGCATTCCCAAGGGCTGCCTCCACCTTTATTTGCCCTCATCAAAACCTTTGGGGAAGGTTTTGCAAGATTTAGAGAGGGACTTTTGAGGCAGAGCATGAGCTCGCCATGCTGGAGCAGCCTTGGAGCAGTTCCCCACTGCCCATGGGAGAGGCCGGGAGCATCCGTGGCTTCTTTCTGCTCGCAGGAAACGCCTGTTTATTTTAATAAAAATAATAATTATTATTATTATTGCTTATGCTTCCGAGAGAAACTCTCCACCTCGTGAGCCTCTGCTCACAACAGATAAAATCAGTGGGTAAAAGCACAACAAAAATATCTCCTTTGCTTCCTTCCCGAGGGACTGACCCGCTTCCATGTGGAAAACTCCACGGCACGCATCCAGCTGGACACTGCCAAGGCACAGGGATTGAGGAGGAGGTGTGCAGGGCAAAGGCATGGATATTTCCCAAGGAGAGCTGCATGGGAAGTCACAGCCTGGGGATAAAACAGCTCTGTAGCTCCACGTTCCCAGCTTAATCCGTTCAGGAGTATCCAAGAGTCCCAGTTAAACAGCACTGAGGATTTTCCATTTGCTTATAGTTGTTTAGGATGATGCCCCTAGCAACACTCACAGAGCAAAGGCTCCAATAAAACAGCTGATGAGAGCACAGGAATTTGGGGAAAAAAAAAAAAAATCAGGGAAAACTTCAATTTCTTCCCAGATAAAAGAAACTGAAGCCTTGGCACTCCCAGCGAGGAATTCCGGGAGCATCCCTGCCTGGCCATGCCAGGGCGAGGTTGTGAAACACGAATTAAGCTGTAATTACTGCAATAATGTCACAAAATCTATCCTAAGGGCACGTTACAGCCAGGCCTCTGCAGCCAGAGCCAGGAGGGAGCAAAAACACCACCAGCCAAAAAAGATGGTGCTGAGATCCCAAAAAAGCTCGGAGCTGCTGTTTGTTATCCCCATGCCTCACTCCCACCGTGCCCTGGTGCAAGTTCAAAGGTTTCCTCCAATTCACCAGGGAATTCATCAGGAGAGGGGAATGCTGGACACACTCATGCAAGCTCCCGCGGGCAGGTTTTCCCTGCTGGAGAGGCTTCACCTGGCAAAGCCACTCGTAAACACGCCCCCGCCCGCCTCCGGGCCGCTTCCCGGCGGGATTTCGGGATGCATGACCCCAGCACCTCCGCCACCGATCGATGGGAGAGCCGGCAGCGGCACACGAGCCAGGAGCCACTTGCTTGGCAAAACATCCTGGGACAGCGAGCCCTGAGCAGAAAACTGGACTCAACAACCCTTGTCCCCTCCTCCCCTGGCAGCGACTGACCGAGCCCGGAAAAGAATAAACATCATAGTAATAAAAACCCCGGCGCTGGACGCGCGGGAGTTCCCCGGCGCTGTGTTTGCCCGCGGCCCCGGCCAGCTTCCACAAATCCCAGAGCACCGGGAGAGCCTCCCGCCCGCGGCACGGCTGCTCCCAAAATCCACGGGGTGGGTGGGATGCGGGTGGTGCTGCTGCAGGTGCCTGGCGTGGCTACCTGCGTTCTCCATCCTTCCAAGGGAAGCCAAAGGACAGGACCCCTCACGCACCCCTCAACAATCCCCTGGCACTGTGCGCTCACAGCTTTTCACACCCCTCTCCTCTTCATCCACACCTGTACACAAACCCCGGCCCTTCACACACCCCACGAGAATCCGTGTTTTCCACGCTTCTGAGGAAAGCCAAGCCAGGTGAGGAGGGGAAGGCGAGGAAAGCCAGGCCAGGTGAGGAGGGGAAGGCGAGGAAAGCCAAGCCAGGTGAAGGGTCGGAAAAGCGCTCCCGCACTTTCAAGCTACCCCTGACCAGCGTATTCACCCTCCACACATCTCCCCCGGCACTTCACTTTCACACCTTCGCACGCCCCCACAGCAACTCTGCTCTGAGGAAAGCCACGCCAGGTGAGGAGGGGGAGCGAGGGCAGCCGAGCCCGGCGGGGAGGGGAGGCGACGACGACGAGGAGGAGGAGGATGGAGAGCCGCGCCCCAGAGCTTACCCATGGCGCTGAGGCAGTGGCTGAGCGCCTGGCAGGGCGGGCTGGGGGTCTGCGTGGCCTTGTCGCAGCTCAGGGGCGCGGGGCTGCGCTCGGCTTCGAACGAGAAGTACCCGCTGGAGGAGCGCGGCAGCAGCGGCGACCTCCGCACGAAGATGAAGAGCGGCGAGCGGGTGGCGAAGGGGCCGGGGCTGGCGGGCGGGCCCCGCGCCGCGGCGGCCGCGGACACCGGGCCAGCCCCGGGCAGGGCAGCGGGAGCGCCGGGGCGCAGCTGCGCGCCCGGGCCCGGCCCCTCCGCCGCCGGCAGCCGCCCGCCCTCGCCGTCGCGTCGCGCCTTCACCTCGGGGGGCTGCTTGGCCATCGGGGCTGCCTGCGGGGAGCGGAGCGCGGTGAGCGGCCGAGCGCGCCCAGGCCAGCCCGGCCCCCGCCCGTCCGCCCGCCCCATTGTTCTGCCGAGCGCGCCCCCGCCCCGGCCCCGGCCCCGGCCCCGGCCCGGGCCCCCACCCCGCGCCCCCGGCCCCGCTCACGGTGCTGCCGCCGCTGGAGCGGCCCCGGCCGCGGCTGCGCTCGGGTGTGCGCGGGAGCGGCCCCGGCCCCGCTCCGCCCCGTGTTTACAGAGCCAGCACCGCCCCGGCCTCCCCCGGCCCCGGCACCGCCCCGGCCCCGGCACCGCCCCGGCCTCGGCACCGCCCCGCGCCCGCCCCGGCCCCGGCCCCGGCCCCGGCCCCCGCCCCGCCCGCGGGGAGCGCCCGGCTGGGCTCGGGCACAGCCTTACACACGCTCAGGGACTGATAAACACAGCCCGGGGCACGGCACGGCCTTACACACGCACACGTGCGCTGCCAGCCTCACACACACACACACACACATCGCACACATCGCACACAAACACACACACACACGCACATCCCACACAAACACAGCCCAGAGCTGCGTCCTGATACCTTCACCCTTCCCACCCTGCAGCACGCACTCTCGTCTTGCACACACAATACTCACCCCGCGGGGTTCTCCCCTACACACACCCCGTGTACTGTGGGTGCTCCCCTTACCCGCACACCTCTTACACGCCCCAGGCGCGCCTTGTTGCACCCCCATGTGCACACACACACCAGGGTGCTTGCTCTTCACACACACTTTACACACACACACACCAGCTGCAGGGCATCTCCTGCGCCCCACAACCCCTCCTGCTGCACCCCTTGCACATGCGTGTGCGCACACACCCAGCACTGGTGCATCCCTCGAGCAGCAGCAGCATCTCCAGCCCGTGGAGAAACACAGCTGTGGAGGGGAAGACCATGGAGGGGTAGGAAGGACCACGGGGTGGAAGAAGCCTTATGGAGAGGGAGAACCTGGCCCATCCACCACAGGGGCTGAGCGGTGCTGCTGGAGCAGATTCCGGGGTGGCCACAGCTCCCCCATTCCATCCCATCCCCGTGACCCTCACTTCAGCCAGGGATGGTCTCACACACCGCTTGGAGCATCCCTGGCTGCTCCGGCTCTGTTCCCACCCCCTTCACGCCTCTCCAATGGGCGGGGAAGGAAAAGTGTCTGCGGGTGTTTGAGTGGGCAAAAATAATTAGGGAAACTTGTTAGGAAGGCATATTAGGGAAAAAATTGAAGACAGGGACCAGCAGCAGAAGGGAAGGGCTAAAAAGGCCTGGCCATCACGTTTCCACACCAGAAAAGTGAGGGAGAAGCAGGGCTGAAAATCAGGCTTGTTCCTCTTTTCCCAGCCCTCCAGCAGTGGTACCCACAGCATGGTGCTGGTGGGGCTCCACAAGGCCCCGCTTCCCTCACGCTTCCCTTGGATCCAGGAGCCACCCGAGGCTTTTCCCCTTGGCTGGGGCCTGCAGAGCATCCTGTGGTGGTGGGGCAGAGCGAGGGGGACACTCTGGAGGCACCTGGGCTGCCAGGACACGGGGCCAGCCAGCAGATGTTGAGTCTATTTTCTCCTCCTGGGTCGTTTTCGTTTCTGCGTGGGCGGCTCACACGAGCAGAAAGGGGATGGGGAGCAGCCTGGCCTTTCCAGCACCCAGCCTTGAGCTGGCCCTTCTCCTCCTGCCCTCGGGATTTTGGAGAGCCATGACAGGCACCAAGTGCATTTTCCCACTGTGAATCATGGCTCCAGCCTCACGGAAGAAACCCGTTTCGATGTTATCCTTGTTCCTCTTGTCGTGAGCCATCTTGGAGGAATTCACACCGAAGCCCATCCCAAAGTCCCTCATTTTGGCACAGATTGAGGGAGGGGGAGTTGAAACCTGCCCCTCAACACTGCCTCAGGCCCTGCAGCATCCATCCCCAGCTCCCTGGGAATGCTGTTTGGGAATGCCCCATCCCAGCCCTCCTGCGCACCCATCAGCATCCATGGGCAGGGAGCTTTCCCACATCCCACATGGAAATGAGGAGGGAGAAGGGAGAGGGATGGAGGAGGATGGAAGGGATCCCATGCTGCTGCAGCACTCCAGTTGTGGCATCTCCCACCCAGCCAACCCTCTGTGCCATCACAGAATCGCTTTGGTTGGAAACAACCTCCCAGATTGTGGAGCCCAGTCCAATCCCTGCAGGCTGTCCCTGCCACTGGGAAGCGGGCAGGGAGGAGGTTGGAGCAAAGAAGACGGAGCCTGGCTGGAGGGAACAGACTCCTCACAGTGCCCTGAAAACCCCCAGGGAAAACCACCCCCAAGCCCTCCTCCCCAGCCAGCAGGTGCTCACCAAACCCATTCTGACCTGAACAAAGCACCAACGGAAAAAAATGACACCTTGTTCTCCTTCTCCTGCACCCATCATGATAAATGTTACTTCACTCGTGCTGCCAGATAAAATCAGGTTTGAGCCTCAAGCACGAGGCTTTTTCTGAGCCAGGCTTGGAGCCTGACCTTTACAGAGCTCCCAATTTCAAACACCAACCCAAAATCAAACCCTGTGTCATCAGCGTGGGGGTGCTTGAACAGCAAAGGTTGGATAGAGATAAGAACAGGTGGGTTTTGTTAAAAAAAGTGTATTTTAGTTAAAGAAACCCCCAAACCCTCTCTGGGGGATCTCCACACATCCACAGCAGTGACAGTGATGTGGGGGTGAATCAAGTGACAAGAACGGTCCTGTTGTGACCTGAGTGGTCCCTGGGCTGGGCAGGGGGGTGGCACTTGGGTTCCTTGCTACCACCAGTGAATTTGGGACCTGTTAATGTATATTTAAAGTTATTTTTATTGTTCCTAATGGGGCAAGTGACATTGCTGTGGGTGACCCCAAGGAGGGGGACCAGGACTGCTGCTTCATTAGTGTGCACCTGACTAATTACTGAGGTGGCTGCAGCTTTCAACAACCTCACACTTTATCCCTGTTAATGCCTTCAAAGTAAAAATTAAGAATTTTGGCCAGGAATTGCAGGGAGGTGGCAGCAGAAAGGGCTTGGCCGGGGCTGAGTGGTGATGAGCCAGCAACAGCAAGGGATGGAGGAGCTGGGAGAGAGCCTCAGACCCCAGGGGGGGCCCCGGCTCGATGGGAGAGGGTGAAAGATGAGTAAAACCTGGGTTTTCTGCAGAAGAAAAGGCAGAGGCACCCACCCACGCGCCAGGAAATCTCTCCTCTCCCGTGTGGGTGGTGGAGGCCCCGAGATGAGTTATCTCTAAAGGGCGACTCTGGGGATACCTCGAGATCTGCAGCGGCGTGGAGCCAGCGCGTGCCGGCGAGGAAACATCACCCTGCCAGCTGGGCCCTCTTGGGCTCCACTCTTGGGTTTTGTAACAGCTTGGTTTAAATAAAATACAACAGCAGAACCTCCACCCCGCCTCGTCACCGCACTGATCCATTTTTACCCCTCGTGGGGTGGCTTTAACCTCCCTGCCTCTCATGGGATGATGGTGGGACAGGGGCAGGAGCAGGTGGCTGGGACAGGAGGCTGGTTTTAGGGGTGTTTAATGTAAAATAACAGCATTAAGGGCAGAGCTGCAGCTAAAAGCTCCATCGTGCTCATAATGCTCTGAAAAGTGCTCCTCCACATATCCCTCTGCATTATATGAGGAACTAAAAATATATAATTTACAATATACATCTAAAAACTTAAGCCTGGCAGAGATTTTGGCCTGGCCAGAGAACAGCTGGCTCCGGCTCAGCGCGTAAAAAAATGCAACTAAGGGGAGAACGGGAACAAAAAAAGCCACCCCAGCATCCAATGTTTATGTTTCCACCAGCTCTGAGGTTGCTCCAGCTGATGTGCCTCCTGGTGCAACTCACTCCAGCTGAGTCAGGAACCAGCTGCTTCGGATCAAAGCCCAAGGCTTTTCCGCGTGCCACAGGAAGCAGGCTGCTTCCAAGGGGAATCTGAGAGGTTCTGCCATCAGGGCAGGGACAGGAGCCCCAGCTGGAGGCAGAACAGCAGTCCCTAGAACACATCTCAGCTCCTCCTAACCATCCAAGCTCTACCAGGTGCTCAGGCTCACCATGGTTATCCAGCTGAACAAATTAAGCAGAGGAAAAACACCCCTGAAACAGAAGCAGGAGAAGGGAGAATAGGAAAGGCTGTTGTCTCCCTCCTGTGGGGAGACGCAAAAATCAAATTAATGCCCTCTCCTCCCTCACGGGGGTTGTGCTGCTCAGGTATTCCTTTTAAAGGAACACTTTCTTCCCAAAATTCTGCTGTTACAGTCAAACAAGAGACATTTGTCTTCTGGGTTTCCCCCGAGCTTGAATAAGGATGTGAGGGGAGGCCAGAACTGGAGGTGCCAAGGCTGGGTTCAGTCCTGTCCAACTTGCATCTGACCTGCAAACCTCCATTTCCTCCATCTTAGAAATTCCTAAGGACAGGCAGAGCAGGAAGAGCCCAATCCAAGTACATCCATTGCCTCCCAAACCAAATCAACAACTCAATTTAGCGTATTTCCCCCCCCCCCCCAAAAAGCACAGAAAGATGCGAGCCATCATTGCTGAAGTCAACCCCAAACCCATTTATTATTTGAAACCAAGTTATTACAAAAATATTCCACATCCATAAAACCCCAAGTCCTTGGAAACTGGGCAAAGTCAACCCTTATTTCCGTGAGCGTTTGTGCTCGATGAGCAACACAACAAGTCTGTTCCGAAGGAACTTGATTTCCTTAGCGTAGGACCTGCAAAATAAATCCTTGAGCTTCTGGCGCAGGGCTCTGAGGGACGGCAGGTTGTGGCAGCTGGGAATGTTCAGCAGGCTCTCAAAGAACTCCTTCCACAGCTCAGCGTTGGCAAGCCTGCAAAAAGGGACAAAAAAGCATCAAAAAAAGCACTAAATTCAGCTGTTAAAATACTCGTTTTTACTCTGCTCCCAGTTAGGAAAGGTGTGACAGAACCTGACCTCGGAGCAATGTGGTACTAATGTGGGTT